TTTTTTTTAAAGATTTATTTTGGGCTTTTCGTGCCTTTAATTCAGAGAGAGGAGAGTGGATAGAGTCTGAAACCAGGGAGAGAGAGGACAGTGGATAGAGTCAGAAACCAGAGAGAGAGAGAGAGAGGACAGTGGATAGAGTCAGAAACCAAGGAGAGAGAGGACAGTGGATAGAGTCTGAAACCAGAGAGAGAGGACAGTGGATAGAGTCAGAAACCAGAGAGAGAGAGGACAGTGGATAGAGTCAGAAACCAGAGAGAGAGAGGACAGTGGATAGAGTCTGAAACCAGAGAGAGAGAGAGGACAGTGGATAGAGTCAGAAACCAGAGAGAGAGAGAGGACAGTGGATAGAGTCAGAAAAGAGAGAGAGAGGACAGTGGATAGAGTCTGAAACCAGAGAGAGAGAGGACAGTGGATAGAGTCTGAAACCAGAGAGAGAGAGGCAGTGGATAGAGTCAGAACCAGAGAGAGAGAGACAGTGGATAGAGTCTGAAACCAGAGAGAGAGGACAGTGGATAGAGTCAGAAACCAGAGAGAGAGAGAGAGACAGTGGATAGAGTCTGAAACCAGGGAGAGAGAGGACAGTGGATAGAGTCTGAAACCAGAGAGAGAGAGGACAGTGGATAGAGTCAGAAACCAGAGAGAGAGACAGTGGATAGAGTCAGAAACCAGAGAGAGAGAGAGAGACAGTGGATAGAGTCTGAAACCAGAGAGAGAGAGGACAGTGGATAGAGTCGAAACCAGAGAGAGAGAGGACAGTGGATAGAGTCAGAAACCAGAGAGAGAGAGGACAGTGGATAGAGTCTGAAACCAGAGAGAGAGAGGACAGTGGATAGAGTCAGAAACCAGAGAGAGAGAGAGGACAGTGGATAGAGTCTGAAACCAGAGAGAGAGAGGACAGTGGATAGAGTCAGAAACCAGAGAGAGAGAGGACAGTGGATAGAGTCTGAAACCAGAGAGAGAGAGGACAGTGGATAGAGTCTGAAACCAGAGAGAGAGAGGACAGTGGATAGAGTCAGAAACCAGAGAGAGAGAGGACAGTGGATAGAGTCAGAAACCAGAGAGAGAGAGGACAGTGGATAGAGTCTGAAACCAGAGAGAGAGAGGACAGTGGATAGAGTCTGAAACCAGAGAGAGAGAGGACAGTGGATAGAGTCAGAAACCAGAGAGAGAGAGAGGACAGTGGATAGAGTCTGAAACCAGAGAGAGAGAGGACAGTGGATAGAGTCAGAAACCAGAGAGAGAGAGGACAGTGGATAGAGACAGAAACCAGAGAGAGAGAGAGGACAGTGGATAGAGTCTGAAACCAGAGGAGAGAGAGGACAGTGGATAGAGTCGAAACCAGAGAGAGAGAGAGGACAGTGGATAGAGTCTGAAACCAGAGAGAGAGAGGACAGTGGATAGAGTCAGAAACCAGAGAGAGAGAGAGACAGTGGATAGAGTCTGAAACCAGGAGAGAGAGGACAGTGGATAGAGTCAGAAACCAGAGAGAGAGAGGACAGTGGATAGAGTCAGAAACCAGAGAGAGAGAGAGGACAGTGGATAGAGTCTGAAACCAGAGGAGAGAGGACAGTGGATAGAGTCAGAAACCAGAGAGAGAGAGAGGACAGTGGATAGAGTCTGAAACCAGAGAGAGAGAGAGGACAGTGGATAGAGTCTGAAACCAGAGAGAGAGAGGACAGTGGATAGAGTCAGAAACCAGAGAGAGAGAGAGGACAGTGGATAGAGTCTGAAACCAGAGAGAGAGAGGACAGTGGATAGAGTCAGAAACCAGAGAGAGAGAGAGGACAGTGGATAGAGTCTGAAACCAGGAGAGAGAGGACAGTGGATAGAGTCAGAAACCAGAGAGAGAGAGGACAGTGGATAGAGTCAGAAACCAGAGAGAGAGAGAGACAGTGGATAGAGTCTGAAACCAGGGAGAGAGAGGACAGTGGATAGAGTCAGAAACCAGAGAGAGAGAGAGACAGTGGATAGAGTCTGAAACCAGAGAGAGAGAGGACAGTGGATAGAGTCAGAAACCAGAGAGAGAGAGGACAGTGGATAGAGTCAGAAACCAGAGAGAGAGAGAGGAAGTGGATAGAGTCAGAAACCAGAGAGAGAGAGAGGACAGTGGATAGAGTCTGAAACCAGAGAGAGAGAGGACAGTGGATAGAGTCAGAAACCAGAGAGAGAGAGAGGACAGTGGATAGAGTCTGAAACCGAGAGAGAGAGGACAGTGGATAGAGTCAGAAACCAGAGAGAGAGAGGACAGTGGATAGAGTTGAAACCAGGAGAGAGAGCAGGGATATGACATGCAGAAGGGGGCATGGGTGGAAGTGAACCTAGGCCTGCCACTCAAGATAAGAGTCTCAATACATGGGACGCGCGCCCTAACCATTGCGCCACCAGCGCGCCCCAGATGTGAACTCTTATCAGACGGGAAACGCTTTATTAGCCGCCATACCAACTTTACTGCCACAGGAATGTGACCACCTGGCATAACAACGACACCGACATGAAATATGAACCCTAACCCTGTCACCATTCTTTGTGTCTATTTGTCTTCTTAGCGTCACTTTTAGATGATATTTAAATCTCCTTGATGTTTATGATCCCTGTTAACACCTCTTTAATCACCTGTTTAGAGTTCACACTACTTTATGCCCAATGAATCCACCTGCTGTCAAACACAGGAAGTCCAAATCACGCTCTGTTTAAGGAAGAATAGCTGCAATCAAATCCCAACCCAACCAGTTACCAACTGGTTTCAATCACTGGAATCCATAACAAATAAGATCTATTAAAAAAATAAAAAATAAACTCACAACACTGTGGAAAAGTGAAACCATAGGAGGACTAGAGGCGCCTACAGTAAATCAGCAAATACATTAATATCAAAACCCAACACTGTTCATGGACCGAAGTAGAACCAGCACAATGTGAAGACATCTCTTTATCAGACGTACCGTTCCTCAACACAAGCATAAACATCACATCATCAAAAAGTGTGTTTGTGTCTTTAAAGGTGTATTGTTTGCATCTTGATTTGTTTCTTTATTTAACATTATCAAATGTCTAGGTCTGTAGCAGTGGTCACAGGGTGACACTTGTGCTGTTAAACCATAACTATTTCATGCTAACAGCTAATGGCTTCTTGGTGGTTTGACAGGCCCCAGGTGGGCAGTGGCAGTTTGGTTGCTGGCAACCTGCTCTGGGTCTTAGCTCTAAAGACAACAGATCTCCTCATGTTCAAACTGACCAAAATGAGGGCTCCTTGTCTGCCTTGCTCTTCCCGCTGCCTGCTGGTTGTCTTACTTTTGTTGTTTCTTTTTTGTTGTGTACATGATGTTGTGTTTTATGTCTAACCCCTCCCTCGCTAGGACTAAGGTGAAATGGTGAACAAGTAGATCTTAGTTCACACCTTCATGGTTCTGTTCTGGTCCAGGTTCGGCAGAGACCCAAGCCGGTATGTGTTGCGTTTAGGAGACTATCACACTGAGGAGCAGGACGACTTTGAACGCACACTGGTCCCTGAACGCATCGTCATCCACAGAAAGTACCACAGTCAGGCCTGGGAGTACGATATCGCCCTGGTGAGGCTCAAAGGCACGGAGGGGAACTGTGTGTCCTTCAACCCTCACACAGGTGCGGTGTGTTTACCTGAAACAGGACACAGGTGGGACAAGAGACCTGCTGCATGCGTCATCACTGGCTGGGGCATCACAGGTAACATGTTACACCTACACAGGTAACTAACACACCTCCATCACAGGTAACATGTTACACCTACACAGGTAACTAACACACCTCCATCACAGGTAACATGTTACACCTACACAGGTAACTAACACACCTCCATCACAGGTAACATGTTACACCTACACAGGTAACTAACACACTTCCATCACAGGTAACATGTTTACCTACACAGGGAACGATCACACCTCCATCACAGGTAACATGTTACACCTACACAGGTAACTAACACACTTCCATCACAGGTAACATGTTACACCTACACAGGTAACTAACACACTTCCATCACAGGTAACATGTTACACCTACACAGGTAACTAACACACTTCCATCACAGGTAACATCTTACACCTACACAGGTAACTAACACACTTCCATCACAGGTAACATCTTACACCTACACAGGTAACTAACACACTTCCATCACAGGTAACATGTTACACCTACACAGGTAACTAACACACTTCCATCACAGGTAGTTATTACATGTTTTTGTCCTGACATGTGAACACCTTTACATGTTATATGTTTCAGACTCAGATACTCCAGATTCTGCTCCACGCCTGGGTTCCTCTGCTTCCTGCCTGGAGGTGTAAAAAGAAATATGGTGATCGTTTCACAGGACGCATGCTGTGTGCAGGGAGCCTGTCAGAGCGCCACCGTGTGGACAGTTGCCAGGGCGACAGTGGGGGTCCTCTGGTTTGTCAGGGGAGGAGGCCGCTGGGTACTGACGGGGGTGATCTCATGGGGTCATGGATGTGGAAACCCATCGTTTCCTGGAGTGTACACACGTGTCAGCAGGTTCCTGCGATGGATTGATAAGATAATCAATAAACCCTACAAGAGCTGAAGACAGAGGAAGACACAAAACACTAACAGGGGCGGCTTTAAATAACTAAGACTGAAGATGGTTGAACAGTCAGTATGAACACTAGGGGGCACTAAATTGACAAGGTGATCAACAACTGTACAAGACCTGAAGAAGAAACACTGAGGGGCACAAACTTTACATAACTGAGGAGTTAATGGTTTCACAACATTGTGATAAGACAATGTGAAAACAAACAATGGGACACCAATATAACAATGTTTGGCGTTCAATATAAAAACAAAAAACAAAGGTGGAGTGAGAGTGGAACGTGGTTACGGTGCTGCGGTGGACTGGAGATGTAAAGGAGTCTAGTCTCAGAGCTCTAACAGTCTCTCTCTGTATATGAAGCCTGATGCTCATGATTCTGTGCTGGGTCATCTCAACTCTTAATTTTGTTTTCTCACTGCAATAAGCCTGTAAATGTGTATTAACATGTAAATGTGTATGAATGAGTTATCTGATATTTCAAACTGGTTTTGATGAAAAAAGCAGTGGAATAAAAGGTTTACAAAGCTCATTACATTATTCGGAGAATATGACCTGTGGAACACAGGGACATAGTTATACAATAAGAAAGGGAAACAAAGACACATTAATACAGTGACAAAGTAATACAGTGATACAGTGACATTGATATAGTTACAAAGGGATACAAAAATATAGTGATACAGTGATACAGTCACACAGTGATAAAGTTACAGTTATACAGTCACACAGTGATACAGTCACAATGATAAAGTCAGACAGTGATACAGTTACAGTGACAATGTGATACAGTGATACAGTCAACAGTGATAAAGTCACAGTGATACAGTCAAACAGTGATACAATCACAGTGATACAGTGTGACAATGTGATACAGTTACAGTGATACAGTGACAATGTGATACAGTCAGAC